ACTACTTGAATGAACCACCAATGGACTACCCTAAATGTAAACCCCTAAAATTTCTAACCCAAAAGTTTAAGAATCAGTTTGTCTGCTCATGTTCCAATCATCCAGGAACAATTTTTAAACGTCACCGCTTCTGCATGCATTGCGTGCTGTTTATTTAATGGACGTTGTCCTCGGCGTCGCCGTCGTGGTTTCGTAAACTCCCTTATATCTCTCAGTTACTACGCGCGCTGTGATTAGTAAATTTAGCGGGCAGTATTCCACTGTACGGCACGCTAAAATATAAACTGCTTTTGTTACCGAAATTTTCCGTGATTTATTGCCAAGTGTTCTTAATTTTTATGGAAACTAAAGGTTTAAACTTTCTTTCAGGCTTGACTTAGGGACGTCCGCGCTAATTGTTTCTGTGTATCCTTACTGTGCACGCAAATTTACACTCCACGTCATGCATGAGCGCGCAATGATAAACAATGATAGGGCAGATGGCGATTGCCACAGCTTTGCCTGGATTTAACGATCTCGGACTTTCGGCGACCCCTATTTCTCTTTCAATGGATCATCTTCTCTACCGATTTTCTACGTTTAGCGAAAAAATGAAGAAAATCTATCGATTAGAAGTTTGAATTTTTTGCAAAATGGACCATCGAATTCCGTTTTTTTAGCCCTTCGTTTTTCTGTGCGGTGGTTTCAAATCCCTCTTGAAGGTTAAGTTTTGTGAAAACGTTGGCAACATTTGGAATTATTTACCCAACGGACCCACTTCTACAAAATACGACTAAGATCGTTTGCCTCCGTTGACTCACCTTCGATATTTTTAACTATAAGCCCCTGTAGACCATGCTGAATTACGTGCGCCAATTTTTCAAAATCAGGGTAGTTTTTCACCCGCTTTATTACTAAAACGAAGTCGGTAACCCCAAATTTTTTTGCATTTCTGACATAAGTAACTCATTATCTGACTGCAGTAAAAATTTGAAAAAAAATCTATGGACTGGAAAATTTTCGCGCGAACGTCCTTAACAACGATTTCAAATTGACTAATTTTGCTTTCGACGTGAGTCAGAAATTTGAGGCCGTTCGACGTGAATAGAAATCGATTACGAACCCGGCCGTCAGATACACAGCAGAGTTATGAATACATATGTAATAAATATACTCACTAACTTCGTCTTCTTAGTCCGTACTGCAAGTTACGGTTCGTCGTTGTTTTCCTTCGATTGAGCCGTAAATCGAAAGGGAAAAACCTCGGTCGCGATCCGTAACTTACAGTAGGGACGTCGAACACGGTCTCTATAACACATTAAAAAAAAATGTCTATGTTTCAAGTCTGTTACACAGTACTTTGATGGTTTGAAACACACGGCGGGTCCGGATTTCGGCGAAATATTAGGAAGAAAAACATGAACATACAGTTGTTGCACACCACCTGTTGCCACAAGTGACTCATACTTTTCGCGCGTCTGTTCTCTTCAATGCTAACAGCTGATTGGCTAATATTTCACCTCAAAGTGACCAGTAGTTTGTGTTTACGCGCCCGCGAAATGCAGTCATCACCGCTTTAGGGCTTTTAAAATATAAAAATAAAGTTTACAAACTAGGAACACCCTTAGCAGGGCGACTGTTCAGCTCAGACGACTTAAACGATTGTTCTGTAGCTAACGTTAACATCCCTTTTTCAGCTAGGGTTTCGTAGTCTTCGGGAAATATAATATATGCGGAGCCCATTCAACGGTGCACTTGTCGAGTAAAAACCCATTAAAGCGTCAAGTTGTTGGGCATTGCATTGGGTTCTATGTGCTGTCGTGGAGACCCTCACAGCGCCCTTGGAAGGACCGAAGGAGCGATCGACTTGATATCAATTTGGTTCGACTGTATTTCACATAATTCTGCGTTTGGATCTATCAGCTACAACCCTGGCGAACGAGTCGACGCTATTGCTTGAATTATAATCATTTGCAACATAAACAGCTAATTAACCCCTTGGCACCGGTCAGGGCGTTAAAACGCGGTCTCCTCACACTTGGCTATGAATGGGCGCGAATTTGGACAAGAAGAATTCAGCGATGATCAGTTTCTTGCTGGCGGTGTAACTCTCATGTTAACTGGTCTCATTGGCTTTGTTGGTAACCTGCTTGTTTTGATTGTCACATACAGAATTCTCCGGCACAGACGAAATATCCCCAATATATTGATATTATTCTTAGCCTGGATAGACCTGCTGGTATTTCCTTTAGCGTATCCGCAGTCACTGATAAAGTACTTCTTCGGCTTTTACATTGGAGACTACGTGGCTTGCGACTTCCAAGCCACCACTATATCATTTTTATTTATGTTATCCATACTGCTGGTTGTTTTAATGAGTGTAGATCGCCTTCTAGCTTTGTATAAACCTTTTTATTACGATAAACACATGGTTTACGACAGGGAAAAAGTCAAGATTACAGCCATTGGTTTTGGATGTTCTGTACTCACTGTCAGTTTACTTCCAGCGTTTGGAGTCAGCAGAAATGTTCTACATTTTCCTGGGACATTCTGCCTGTTTGAGTGGGGTTCTGATACGGTAGAAGGTAAAGCACTCGTTTATATTTTTATGTCTGCGCTAGCGAGCGCTATGGTCCTTATTGTGACATGCAATTTACTCATTGTTGTTATGGCGTTAAGACTTTCAAATCGAAGGCAAAACAGTACAAATAAACCTCGTGAAGATCCGGAGGCGTCCAACGCAGGGAGTATAGAGCACCATCACTGTGTCTGTGGGAAAATGGAGCTTCAGTTTGCCAAGTTAAGCGGTGCTGTAGCAGTATCATTTGTCGGTTGCTGGAGTTTATTTTTAGTAAGTATAATTAATAGAATTCTTTATGTTCTAATTGCTCACTGTTTCGATCGAAAAAAATTCAGAGTAACAAGAATACGAATGTAGTTTGCCACTGTGGTGCGACTGATCTAGAGTTAGGCTTCAACTCAACTACTTTACAACTGTCCGAGAGATGACTGTGGAACGACAGGAGCAGACTGTGGTAAGACTATATCATAATACAGTGGTATGGCTGTGGCACAATAAGAGTGGACTGTGGTAAGACTATATCATAATACAGTGGTATGACTGTGGCACAACAGGAGTAGGACTGTGGTTATAAGACTTCTCACACGACAGTGGTATGACTGTGCCACGACAGTAGCATGACTGTGGTACAACAATGGAACGATTGCGAAACGACGACCATCTAATATGGTACGAAGGCATGGTGTGCCTGCAACCATTGACTGATTCGTTGGCTTTCAAAAGGAAGAAGATAGTAGGGCGAGAAAAGATTTAAAACAAAGTGGGGCGTATAACAGCAGCATTTTTGTTTGCGGTCCCTTGCCACATTTGCTCTTAGATCCGCCCATGGCTACGAGACTATGATCTAACTGCAATATCTCCAGAATAAACCTACAAGCTGTTTTCATCGAAACACGACCGCGTCTAGCGGAAACCAAGATCATATTCTCTTGCGGAAACTCGGTTGACGCTTTGCTTTCTTGTCTCAATTCTCAAATCCCAGCTTTTTTCATCTCATTGTTCCATTTTGATACCATTTTTCTGCCCATGCCACAAAGGCCTTCTAACCAGTTTAAGCCTAACTACAGTTTCTTTTTGTTATTTCCAGCTAAGAGTGACACTTATTCAAAGAGGTTGGTCATTTGATGAGTTGACAGACTTCACTGCAGTACGTCTTGCCTCCCTACACACAGTTGTTAACCCTTGGTTATACCCCTTGACTAGAAGGAAATACCGCGATGCATTCTGGTACCTACTAACGTTGTTTGCGTATTACGTCACATGTACATTAGTAGCCAGGCCTGGCACCACCCTAGGTGAGTATCAACCTCGATCCCGGACTCTCTCTCTCCTGTGCCTCACTCGTCGTTGAGAGAGTCACAGGAGAGAGAGCCCGGGATCAAGGGTGTGTGAGTATCAACCTGACATGCCAACAGTTTTATTTTTCTCGCAAACCATTATTTGCGTGTACTATTTAACCTGTTTAGTCTTACTTGCTATTACCTATACACCGGTCAACAGCTTTAAATAAATGTCTTGGAAGTGAAAGAGTTCTTTCATTGAATCGCATCTCTAGGAAATTGAATATTAAGTAAATGTTTCTTCTTACAGATGAAATTGTCGGTATACAGTCTGAAGCAAGCCAAGTTCGTGAACTCTACCAGGAGGAGCGACGACGCTCAAGTTCCCAGCGGCTAGTCAAATAAGAGCAAGATATCACATCTGTGAAACGTGAATGGCAGTTTTCGTTCCCAGGCCACTTAATACTTTTGGTCAGCAGGGGAACGACCGTGGTACACAGACATCGGAAGAAAAGTGGTGCATTTTCAGAATAAACGTTGTTTTTAGAGTTTGTTAAGGAGACGAGATATTAAAGACATTTGGCGGCAACATTGTTAACAAGTTGCTCGATTTTCAAATGTAAAATCAAAGAGCATTCTTTAGTATCTTAACATTTACAAATGAAAGTTGTGGTGACAGAAACCAGTCTTCTGTGTGGATGTTATTTTTGAAACAAGCCACCAAAAAAACAAAACAAAAGAAAAGAAAATTGAGCAAATTGTACATAGGAAAGAAACTTACAAAAAAAAAATAGACTTAACTTCCGGTACAAGTTGCTTTTGCCCCGTGTCCAAGTGACCAAGGTCTTGTGGACACGAGGGTACAGTGTGATGCACCACGATCCGAGTGATCTTGGATTGATCTGTTTAGTAAAGAACGCAAAATCCGTGATGGGCGGTAAATAGATAGGTAGATAGATATGGTTCAGGCAAGTTACGGGTTAATCAATTTTGGCTACGTAAGACAGGTACAAAACTGACGATGAATTGACGACCATTGATGGCGTTTGGTGCAGTTGATTTTGGAAATACGAGTTTCAACCACGCTGTACAGATTCAAGACATTTATTTATTTATTTATTTATTTATTTAGTTAGTTAGTTAGTTAGTTAGTTAGTTGTTTAGTTATTTTTTTAGTTATTTTTTAATTTTTTTTACGGGGACTGAGATGTAGACCTTGGAGACTCAAGCATTTGTAGCTATTTGTGACAGGCTGTTTTTAGCATTTTATTTTGTTAGTGTCCGATCCCTCAGTTCAAGCAACTCGTTTGCGTTTAAATCAAATTTGACAAAAAATAACAGGCTTAAAACGTTGAAGTGACGGGTTTCAGTCACGCAGAAAAATCTAAAGATGACGATGATTGGTTTAAAACTGACCTCTGAAGCGCATTTTCTGCGAATTAGCAAACAGGTATATAACTTACAAAAATTGATTGTTAGGTCTGTCAATATCTCACTGTATATATAGGCCTTTATTATATAAACGCGAGTGTTTTACTGGAAAATACACCACTTGTAAAATTTATACGAAACCACATCCGGAAGTCGGGTGGCGTATTTTCCATATCTCCACTAGTGAAGATATCGATGACTTCACTGATATCATGTTTGACCCTTCGATTCGATTCTCTGGGTTTTACAGTAATAATACAATACAGTCGAACCTTCCGTAAGCGACCACCCAAAATGTCAAGCCTTGGTGGTCGTTTACGAGAGCGTAGACCATATTGGGTTCAAATTCTGCCTCATTAGCATATGGTAACTGCAGAGACTTACCCCATGTTTTGAATGTTTTATTCACGTGAAAAGTCAATTCCGAGAAAAAAAATTCGGTACTATCAAATGGGAGATTCCCATCTCTTGTGCTACCCAGGAATGCGATAATGTTGCAACACTCTATTATCCAATTTTCGCTCTATTATCTGTCAAATGGTCGCTTACAGGAGGTTAAAAACAAAAGAAAATTTCAAACTTTTAGCTTTAAAAGTGGTCACGGTCGCTTACAAGAGGTGGTCGCTTACAAGAGGTTCCAAATATAATGATTTGACTTGGAAACTTTTTGTAGTTTAGAAAACCGGTCCCGAGGAGAGGTGGTCGCGTACGAGAGGTGGTCGCAACAGGAGGTTCGACTGTTTTTTGATACAACAGTTACTATATGTAACGCGAGCAAAATGTACAGTACTAACGATTTGAATGCAAATTTCACAACTTTAAAAATGATATCCATCGTCACGAAATCCTGTGTTTGAAATTTGTAGTCGTATTGGGTCCGGGCCTGAGATGTATGCTAACATAGGATGTTCACGGCTATCCTCAAATCTGGAGACAACTGAGAATTCCCAAGTGGATTGACTACATTTTCGTGGCGTAGCTTTCAGCCCCAAGGAGATTATTGACATTATTGACAGGGAAAAAAGATCATTAGCAAAAGCGACAGCTCTACTTGTACGGCATGCAAATAAAGCTATTAAAGAACACTGCGGTAACTCGCGCGAAGAAATGTTGTGCACGTTCATGGAAGCTCATGTCTAAATAGGACGCAAGTATAACAAGAGTACACTGCGGGGAAATGTTCCAAGCGGTTAATTTAGATAGCAGAGGCATCTTCGAAGATTCAGGTATATTAATTTTTGGGGTACATTTCGTAAATGAACAATTTGTTCAGTCGACACATGTATTTTTTATTTTGGGCAGTATGTTTAACGTTTTTTTATTGCTGTGTTTATGCCAGAGGCGCTTGTCTTTCCTTCGCTTAGGATAATTAATGAAGATATATATCCACCCATAGACTTTTCATGGCGTCCCGGCCATTCCTAACTTTTTGCGGTGGAATCAGCTCCGGGATCATTTAATTTGAGGTCCAGTTTGGGGATCATTTGCGGTCCGGGGTTCATTTGCGGTCCGGGATCATTTGCGGGCCTGTAGAGGCAGCCCTGGCCGGGGCCTTTGATTCTGTATGTCACATGATTCCTCTCTGGTTACCACAAGCGATCAGCCCATGCCTTTTAGTCCAAGATGTGTAATCGAGTCCAGCCCATAATTCATTTCGTGGCACCAATGTTTTGGAAGCGGATGTATGATCGCGAAGCCACGTCACGCCGACGCGTTTGGGCTAAACACGCTACAATTTTACCATTTTTTGACAATGTCTTCCATAGTTATAGCTGTGTTCAAAGAAACAATTGGTTTACTTGTGAGAAAAGGCAGGAATAAGGCAGCAGAGAAGTTAAAAGATGGCGATGTAACAAATCAAAAATTTCGTGGCTTGATCATCCGTGAAATTGACGATATCAAGTCCAAGTTGGAAGGGTTGTCAAGGAAAGATTTACTGGCAAGCATCAGCTTCTTCAAGGAAGGAATCGAGTTGTTGTATGAGGTGTTTGATAAGGCAAGGTCCAGAAGTGAGCGAGGTACCGTGAAGACACAAGCAGCTTGTGATGAAGCATTTTCTCTCGCGGAAGGTATGCGAAAGTTGGAGCTCAATGGCCTTGATGAATCAACTACGAGAGCGCTTGCCGACGCGAAAGAGAGATTTAAAGATGCCCGCAAGGAAGCAACAAGGGCCTTCGCTAATGAAGCTCTTGAATTATCAGACCGCATTCTAGCAATGCACTATCGAGTTATGGCGACAATACTAGAGAAACTAGACAATCCCGCGGATGCAGTAGCACCATGTAGAGTATACATTGAAGAGCTTCACTATCTGTCTGCTGTTCAAGAGTATTTTAATGTCGAGCTAACGAAAGGCTTACGGGCTCGATTTGGTAAGACTGAACGCAGAAAAGTTATTGCCAGCGTCTGTCACGTGAATTTTGTCATTTACGCCACCACGCTGATGGTCTGTTTCGGTAATAAGGAGCTGTCAAACTGGCCTTGCGTTGGCAGTGGGGAAGACAAAGTGAATCCATTGCGTGACGGAAGAGTAACTAAAATTCTGCGAAAACAAGGAATGGAATACTGTTGTGTCACACCATGGTCATTTGGTCAGGAGGGTGAAGAGGAGCAAAAGCTGAAGATCCCACAGGGTATCGCTACAAACTCCAGCGGAGACTTTTTTGTCGCAGACCGTGGGGATAACAACGTGAAGGTGTTTGACAGCAGCGGCAGTTTTACCAGTCCTTTCAGTCCTCCTACGGACGACGTAAATACAACGTTACAAGTTCTTGATGTGGTCTCAGACACGAATGACAACATCTACGTACTAGTCAAGTTAAATTCCTTTGGATCTGAGCACGTTGTTTACAAATTTAACAACACGGTTTATCTGCATGACAAGTTTCCTGTGAGAAAAGGGCACTGGCATAGACTGGCAGTCAATGACCGTGACCAAGTGTTGGTGCTGGGGAGATCAGATGGCGGTTTAGCGAGTGCTAGCGTGGAGCAAGAGGGGAGCGAAGAAAATGCTTCTTCCTCGCGTCCCAGGCGTGTCCGTGGGCTTCGCACTAATTATAAAGCATTGCGCTCCGCATTCAGCCCATCTAAATCACGTGTTCTGCCGACAAGGAGAACTGAGGAAAACGACGAAGTTGATGTGTTTGATACTGATGGACAGTTCGTTTGCAGCTTTGGAGAAGGACAGTTGAAGGATGCGAGGGACATTACCACTGTTAATGATGGCCGTGTTATGGTAGTGGACAGGGGCGATTCCTGTGTTCACATATTCAGTGAAGTTGGAGACCATCTTGACAAGTTTGCACTCCAAGGATGTTATTCCTTTCCTAAGATTGCATTTCACTGTGCAAGTAAACATGTCGTCGTCGCTGGTATAGACGAAGAGAAAGGCGTCCTGCATATGGAAATCTACACCAAGGATGGTGAGTTTGTGCGCAGCACTCAAATCGATGATGAAGAGATTGATGTCTTACAAGGGATTGCAGTGAATACCGAAGGTCGTATTGCGGCAGTTTTTGGAGTTGCCGATGTCAATTACAAGTTGCTTGTTGTATAAAAACATGTTATGGGGCCAGAATTGAACGTTTTTTTGTCGCATAAGCTTAAAGAAACTGAAAGCAAAGAAGTATAAGACGAAAAACTTGAAGAGCTGGATTGGAAACAACCGGTTAACATTGATTTGACTACCAACTGGCTTGATAGTTCAGTTGTTAGAGCGCTGCGCCGCTATCGCAGAGTTCGTGAGTTCGAATCCCGTTCAAGCCTGAATGATTTTTGTCAGGCTTTAATCGTTATATTAAAATATAACGATCAATCATGTCTTCATTGATCAATTTTCTTAACAATTATGAATAAGTGACCAAACAACAGTCCCCAAACCAGCTTTATCTTTATACAACAAACCCTGGAGTAATTCCACCTTCTCTGCTTTTTAAACATAGGTGTAGATGAAGATTATTGTAACACCTCTTTACACCTCCACTCAAAACAGTTATATTCATCTTTCCATTGTTAATATTGTTCGTAATGATAAAAGATTCATTTTTTTTTTTAATTATATCAGCGTTCCGGATGTTTATCAAAGAACAGTTGTTTAGGAGTCAGGGGCCATAATCGCTTAGGGCTCCTGTTAGAAGTACAAAATCAGTTATGACGTCTGTGACAGAGGAGAAATAACTCCAAAACTATGAGTAGGTTTATCTGTAATATTTGCTCTTCTTTATATCGTTATCGTAAATAGGTTCCGCACTTTACTTAGAATTGTAAACTTATCGTAATCTACTGGAAATGTCATGAGTTAAAAATGTATGCATCTTAAATATAGAACAATTACAAATTCATAAATGTTGACATAGAAAGAAACTTCCCTTTAAGCATTAAGATTACTTACGGTCCAGTATTTCATTAAGCTTCATTAATATCACTGTTCTTAGATGCGAAGTAGCATATTGTCAGCTAACACCGTTATTTACCTATATTTTGAGCAATTTCCTGAAACGTATCTTGAACGGAAGATATAAACGTTTAGCAATTTCCTTTACCGATGTTGGTATTGATGCGACTTGACTTACTTGTTTATTTTGTTGTAAACCTTAAAGTTCACCTGCCATTATTATCACACCGTAAGCACATATAAGCCCAATTTACCCCGAGTTAGCTTTGAGCTATGTACTACGAAGTTAAATCAACAATAAAGAGGACAAGAGAGTTCCAGATCTT